GTTTGTGCATTGACAGTATGTATGTATTAGTATTATAATACAGAGACTGACTGTTCAACAGATACAGGGACTCACAGGAGAGGACTGAAAGAGTGACAGATAAAGAGAGATTAAATTTTAGACTATAATTCTCCAGACACACATTTTACACCATCTATTTAAGAGCAATATTAATATTTAATCAAATTTATTGTTTCACAAACCCAAAGATGCTTTATGCCAGGAAACAAGTGGAGAACTGAACAAAAATAAAGAATACCAAAAAGAGACAAACTACAAATGACTATACTGACGGTAATTTGTTAAATTGTTAATAATTCCTTCTCTAACATAAGAAATTGTAAACTTCGAAATAAAAAGCTCCTTCATAAGCATCATAGTTTGATGGAAAAAAATAAAAACAAATCTTTGATAAAACACTTAACGAACAGAAAAAAAAATTTCTTTTTAAATTTGCAATATACCTAACTCTGTATGTTCAAAGCAAAGCATCAAAGATAAACTGTAGCCTATTAATGTTATTTTCCTCTACTCTCTGTACATTCCCATTAATTAAACAGCTACATGCTGCTTATTTAACAGTCTGGCACACATACAGCAGTCTGGGTATGTAACTAGCCATTGATCCCTCTTAAGGGTAATTATAATCACATAGCCTATAAGCAATTGCTGATATCACTCTACTACGTAAACATCTCTCCTGATTAGCTGTCTCCCATTTGATGTCAGTTCACTCTTTATCAGGTTTTTGGATACAGAAACAGAACACACGGATATCTCATGTTAACCACAGATTAAACAGGCCATAACCAGAAGCTTCTCTGAGATGCATAGAATTAAAACAGCCCATTAAGAACGCAACAGTTACATTTTCCCCTACTGTTCGTGCCTGCAGCTGTGACCGAGGGGGGGAAATGTGCCAGTTTCCATTATCGACCACTGTCTACTTCATATCGCTTCCTCTGATTTACCTCTGATGTGCCTTTCCTGACATTCTCTTCACTCTGAATGCGATGGCAATTGGGATGGAATGTGTAAAGGCATCCTGTTTTTCGAGCGGGACAAAGATGGCTGTTGGCGGCATAGCAGACATTGAGCTCAAGGGAGAGATGGACGCTGCCATTGTTTCAAATATGACTGTTGTTGGGTCATAAACCTCGTGAACTTGTCAAAGTAATTTAGTACTGTGTGTTCAAAAGGATTGCATCTCAGGTAAAATGAAGCTCTTAATGTAATATTTCACAAAAAAGACAATTCTGTAATCATTTACTCACCCTAGCTGCAGTTAAGCATCATAAAAAGATAATAAAAGTGGCTCATAGTTTGTGGTGTGCGAAAAGACTTTTGATGCCATTTGATCGTTCAGACCTTTTGATCATGTGAGGAACCGACCAAAATTAAATTTGTTATTCGCTGATAATTTTTCCATTCAGTAACTCGAGAACTAAATCAGTCTGGTTCATGAATGAATCATTCAGGCTGGTTTTGTGAACAAATCAAAGGATTCATTAAAAAGATCTGACTCAAATGAATCGTTTGCGAGTTGGATCAACTTGCAGTGAATAACAACTTTCAGTCTGTTTGTCACATAAACCTTGGCTTCAGGAAATTTGAAATACCTTAAAGTGCACAAGTCATAATATATATTGTAATTTGGTGATTGACTGTCTCATTCAAGATTATTTTGAAAAGAGTGGCCGGGAGAAACATCATTAAGGTGAGTAAATGATAAGAGATTTATTATTATTATTATTATTGGGTTCCTGTTGTTTTTGTTTTTATTTATTTATTTGATTGTATTTTGTTAGTTTATTTATTTATTTTTCGTTGCAGACTTAATCTCAAAATCCCAGAGTCCAAAACTCATTTGTGAGTTGGGTGAAGCTTTACAGTGAATAACAACTTTGGAATATAGTGTACAAGTCACAATAACTATCGTCAATTGGTGCTTGACTGTCCCATTCTTTATTATTTTGAAAAGAGTGGCCAGGAGGAATGACTAGTAAATGATGAAATGTTCCTTACTCTCAAAATCCCTCAAGTTCTTTTACCTGTGTTGCTCGATATTTGATCATTAAAAGCAGTTTTATAAGGCTTCTCATACCAGTACAATGATGTAATGTTGACGTATATGTTTTTCCACTTACTAAACACACTTAAATGTGCAGATATGGTGAGAAACCTTGAGGCAATAAAGGTTATGCATTTGCTTAAGGAATGTCTGGATTGGTATGATACACATACAGTAGACATGCAATGTATGACATGTTAAATAACAGAGCAATGAAGTAATGCCCATGTTTTTAGTCTCAATATAGATGTACAATAGTCTTAGATTAAAAAGATGAATAAAATTTGAGAATAAAATAATCAGGATAAGGATAAGGTCTTGGAGTTTGGAAACTAGCCTTATGTGCACTGTTGGCCTATATAATCTGTCATGACAGGAAGATGGAAACCATCAAGACTGTTGTTCTGGCATTGCTTTTGTCTACACTGTTTCTTTCCCATGTGCCTGCAAGCTTCCTGCTTAATTCACCTGCTCTACAAGAGTTCATATCACAACAACATGTCAATGTGTTCAAACTAATTACTTTTCAACCATGTACGAGTCTTCATGCCAAGGTGCTTTGTCAACCAAGGAATAGGCATTGATCCAGGGCAATTATACAAACCTATGTATGCAAGAGATTATACCAAGGATGTTTTAACATGAAGTGTAATTGTGGGCTATTGCTTTATTTTTGAACATAATCTGGTAATGTTCAGTTCCTGTCGGTGACACAGACAAGACAACAGCAGGGTGACAGTTGGACGTACTTGAGAAGGACACAAAATTAGGGTCAGCAATAATACTTATTTTAAGATGAATTTATTGATTCTTTGTTAATAACAAATCAAAGTGATATCATCTAACATATTCAGAGTATGTGAAAATAAATATGGAATACATCAATTTCATCATAATGATATAAACTTTATAACAAAACCATATTGTTTATATACAATACAGGAATCTTTCTCTACAAAATTCTTAATGATTCAATATATATATATATATATATATATATACATATATATATATATATATATATATATATATATATATAATAGTACAACAGCCAAAAGTAATCTTAAAGTGCATACTTATTGCGTACTCTAAGCCTACACTGTTAGCGCTCTAAAATGTTCCAGTGCTATTCATTAAAAAGGAAAGTTCTCCAGCTTTTTTGGCAAGATTAAATCTATTGTCCATCTTTGAAAAGAGTGGCCAGGAGGAATGACTAGTAAATGATGAAATGTTCCTTACTCTCAAAATCCCTCAAGTTCTTTTACCTGTGTTGCTCGATATTTGATCATTAAAAGCAGTTTTATAAGGCTTCTCATACCAGTACAATGATGTAATGTTGACGTATATGTTTTTCCACTTACTAAACACACTTAAATGTGCAGATATGGTGAGAAACCTTGAGGCAATAAAGGTTATGCATTTGCTTAAGGAATGTCTGGATTGGTATGATACACATACAGTAGACATGCAATGTATGACATGTTAAATAACAGAGCAATGAAGTAATGCCCATGTTTTTAGTCTCAATATAGATGTACAATAGTCTTAGATTAAAAAGATGAATAAAATTTGAGAATAAAATAATCAGGATAAGGATAAGGTCTTGGAGTTTGGAAACTAGCCTTATGTGCACTGTTGGCCTATATAATCTGTCATGACAGGAAGATGGAAACCATCAAGACTGTTGTTCTGGCATTGCTTTTGTCTACACTGTTTCTTTCCCATGTGCCTGCAAGCTTCCTGCTTAATTCACCTGCTCTACAAGAGTTCATATCACAACAACATGTCAATGTGTTCAAACTAATTACTTTTCAACCATGTTTGAGTCTTCATGCCAAGGTGCTTTGTCAACCAAGGAATAGGCATTGATCCAGGGCAATTATACAAACCTATGTATGCAAGAGATTATACCAAGGATGTTTTAACATGAAGTGTAATTGTGGGCTATTGCTTTATTTTTGAACATAATCTGGTAATGTTCAGTTCCTGTCGGTGACACAGACAAGACAACAGCAGGGTGACAGTTGGACGTACTTGAGAAGGACACAAAATTAGGGTCAGCAATAATACTTATTTTAAGATGAATTTATTGATTCTTTGTTAATAACAAATCAAAGTGATATCATCTAACATATTCAGAGTATGTGAAAATAAATATGGAATACATCAATTTCATCATAATGATATAAACTTTATAACAAAACCATATTGTTTATATACAATACAGGAATCTTTCTCTACAAAATTCGATTACAGCCTATAATCTTAAAGTGCATACTTATTGTGTGCTCTACACTGATAGTGCTCTAAAATGTTCCAGTGCTATTCAATAAATTGGAAAGTTCTCCAGCTTTTTTTGGCAAGATTAAATCTATTGTCCATCATAAGGTCATAACAACAGATTGCAACAACACAACTGTCTGCATCACTTATGAATACATAATGCTAGGTAAAGCTGGATTGATATGAAAAACAAGGGCACAGTCCATACAAAGTGGTCATCCTTATGCTATATTTCCTGAAACACCCCATTACTATTGTATTGTATTGCACTATGCCAACTTTAAAGGTCAGAGAACACTTGCTTTAAAGTACGGAGACTTGCTACTGCCAATACATCCACAGACATGCTGCTGTGAGCATGTAAGAAATACTGCTGCTGCACATATAACGCATATGAAATAACCCCCATATATAACATACATGAAATCACCTCATAGCAGATCTATACAGGTGGAGCTGGGGAAGGTGGAGGGTTTCTGATACGTGCTGCAATTGCTACAGCAAGCACTAGCCGAGTATTTGAATGTTGAGCAGCAAGCTCATTGGCTGTTGATATGAAAAGAACCAATCAGCTACGCCATGAGGATAATGATGTCATTATGTCAGATTGTGTTAGAATGTATCGGACTGTTTTTTTAAACAGAAAAATAAAACTAATAGATGAAGGTCGGCTCCAATGGTGCCAAAAATAGTAGAAGTACTGCAGTTTCTTCCTATCTGTGCTCTTCCAACCAACATTTCATTAGCACTTCACCTGTTTCTTTTATCTCGAACTGTTCAAACTTGGTGTTTTGGACTAGTTATGATCCTGTCAGGTAGCTCTAGCATAGCCACTTAGCTAATGTCCTGTTTGCACTACAGGACAGTCGCTAACACCTAACCCTCATTTGTGCTCTCCCAGTGGACAGGTCTGATTTGCCCGTAACTCACAAATATCTACTTTACGTCTCACAAGCCTTCATCTCTCCCATTCTGTCTTAAACATGCAACAAAGGCTCCGTTTCCACAGGACTGTCCTTGAGGAACACTGCCTTCAGATTGCAGCCCATGCATGTTCTGCTGCCCCTGGTTTCACAAGGGTCAACTTTTGTTCAAGTGCTCACACTTCCATCTCTCCCAGGTAAGAACTTCATCTGTAGCCAGGTTTACTGGCCTTGGATGCCTTTCCCATTGCTCTGGCTCTAGCCCTAACCAGCTTCCTGAAAAGTCAGATGGATTTGTTGTAAGTAATGGTGTTAATGATGACACATTCACAGAATAAGGTGTGTAAACATGATTTTCGTGACTTGTGTAATGTGGCCTTACCTGAGGAAGGTTATGACGTCTGACTGAGCCCCAAGGGAGGAAGACTTCCCTAAAACCAGAACTCCTGGACTGGCATTTTCTGAGTTATTTAGGGTAGTCACATGATCTGATTTGGGTTGCTCCTGTTTTTCAGGCACAGGTTCAGATGGGTGCACCAGCATGATGGCAGGGTTTTCAGAGCTTGGAGAAATATGCACAAAATTAGTCCCAAAAAAATCTTGGCTATAAATGCATCAAAATAAACACTGCATTGTCTTAGATGACTGCTATAATGGCTAATAAGTCTATTTAAAAAAAATTCAGTAAGTGTTGGTAAAGCACCTTCAAACTTGCAGCTAGATTTCAAGCTCGGATGAAGAAATGATCTATCGCTACTTTCGTTTCATAATGTCTTTATAAACAGCATATAATGAAGGATTTGGTGATGCTACACCACTACTCATTACAGGTACAGCTAAGCTACCTTTTAGAAAAGTAGTAGTTGTACTACACTACAAACAACTAACAAATCATAGCTAACTATAACATGTTTGGTTGCGCTACACTGCTACTTGTTGGGAAAAACTAACTTTTTAATATACAAAAAAAAATTATTTTGAAAAGCTGAAAATGCTATTGAAAATCTAGCAACATTAGCAGCATTGCCCATTCACAGCGATGAACAATATAGACGGAATCAATTTCAGAGCGCCTTTTTCCAGCTGATGAATGATTAAAAACGTTGACACTAAACCAGCTAACCAGGCTGAGAGACCAGCTAAGACCAGTTAACAGCAGGTTTTAGCTGTTTTTCTCAGCAATTAATAGGAAAGCAGTTCAGTTTTTGTGGAAAAATCCAATATATCTGGTTGTCATAACAACAAATTACAACAACACAACTGCATCGTTTATGAATACATAACAGTGATTAAAAGCTGTTAATAGATAAGACTGCCTCAATGACTTACAGCCTGTCATAATGACAAATGTTCTTTTTTTCTTGTGGGATCAAATAGCGGTCATAGCCTGAAAGCTATTAGCTAAAACTCTGACTCATTAGATGAAACTCTGTCCATCTTAGCATTAATTCAAAAACATTCTCCTGTCATATAGTCTGGATTCTCCAACTGTGTTTGTCTGGTATCACCTCACGCCCTCATGATATCTCCACACCCTTACATTAAAAATAGCCTTCTTAAGAAGAATACTAATGACTGCCACTTCCCACAAATTTGCGTAAAGCTGTCACTTGATCGGTAACGTGTGAGATGTGAGATGAGGCTCACCTGTAGTGACAGAATACATTGCATGTCCGATCTGCAGGACTGGCACAGAAGCAGCGGCCTGTAGACCTGCGCCGGCGAGCCAACGGACTGCCCAATCCATACACAGTGGTCTTACTGCGGAGGAGAGGAGACACCCAGAAAGCATCCAGTCATTGATTAACTCATCAGAAAGGGCATCACAGGAATAAACCACAATGGGACTTTGTACTTTTTAACTTTAAGAATGAGAATTACAACCGGTGCCAAAAGTATTCTAGATAAACAGCAATAAAATGCACAATAACTATCAAATTAATCTTCTTGAACTATAAAAGCACTCTCATTGAAGTCACAAATGTGCACTGATTTACTTAAATGGAAACAGATTTGCTGAATACGTCCTTAATGTCTTCTTTCAGCCTCCATTGACTTTGGTTTACTTGCATACGGTTTACGCAGGTTAGCCCATATATGGGTGAACACTCACCTTGGTGTGTTCACCCAGATGATGTCCAGATGGCAGAAATAGTGGCATTCCGAATCCAGCTGGTTGTTGCAGGAGCAGCGTTTGCTCCTGACCCTATGGGTTGCAGATGGGTCACTCGGGTCAGTCTGGGGCACTAGAGGCAACCCCCAGCCTGCAGACAAGAGATATATTGCGGTCCATAAAACTTCCTGTAATCATTCTGGGCCAAAACGCTCCAGCAGAGACTATATGACTGAGTCTCAGAGAAATGATGAGCCTCATACACCACATGTTATTATTATACTTTTATGATTTTGATTTATCACCTCATTCTAGTCCCACTTCTCTCCGCTATCTTATGTCATAACGAACAAGGTCTTAGATGTTTGATCTTAATGAGTTATCAATTTTGGCTTTAATTGTCAAACAAAATTAGAACAAAATGAATTTGAGCCCCTGACTGTGTCCACATATTGTTAGACAGATGTTTAAAATGATAACCAGGGTTATCAAACTGTATTCGTTTTTATGAAGCAAAGTTTAAAGTGAGTTTAAATGAATCAAAATAAAATTACAAATGTTTTATCTCAAGCTTGAGAATGAAGGCACAGTTAAAAAAGTATTTAAAATCTCAAACTTATAATCAAGTAAAACTAAACGTAATTCTAAAATAGTAATTTAGTATTTCTATCTATCTATCTATCTATCTATCTATCTATCTATCTATCTCATATTTACAGTAAAATAAATTATTGTTAAATATAGAAAATAATAAAAAAAAAAACATGAAATAAATCCAATAATTCTAATACACACACACACACAAATGTTTTACCTTCAAGAAGGGTTGTGCACAAGGTATAAATGAAGATCAGAGTAGTTCTAGATTCCATGTTGCATGTATGTTTCAATAGAAAGAAGTGCAGATGTTCACCTAAGCAATCCCAATAGATCTCTGAGCTGCAGGTGCTTGTCTAATGTTGAACCGTCCTGTTTGGCCACACTTATAGCTCGTGATGTGCACCACCCCCCACTAGGCTGGCTGTTATGGGTGGTAGTTGCACAACTCCAGCTTGTCTTCACAGGGTCACTGGATTATTTGTGAGGAAGAGATCCGGGCTCCCAAACAATGATGATCAAGACTAAAGAAAAAAACGTAATCTTTCTTGCCTGGAATTTAACAATGCGAATCTAAATCTACTAAATGGGACTTGGGGTTGGGAAGAGCATTGCTGTGGAGGGCCAGCAGGAAAAGAGGAGGCACAAGAGGATATCAGCAGATTTGCTGCTTTGCATGAATTCTGTTGCGTGGACTTTGCAGGGAAAGACAGCGTCCTGTGGAAAGAAGGAACATTCTGAAGGGCAGCTCCTGTCTATGAGGTCCAAGTGTGGGTGGACAGTGTAGAAAGAAGCTTCTTGTGCCCTCTGGCCACTATTTGTTTCTGATTATACAAATTAGTCACAGATATGAAATCATAATTCAAAATTTATTTGATTATTTTGTGTTGCTACATACAGGGCCAGCATAAACCAGTTCATTTCCTTTTGATATTATTAAAGAGCTGTTGGGGTACTTTTGATAACATATGTAACATTTACGCATCGTCTTATATTAAATTGTGTCATAAATCATTCACTTAATGCCACCACTTAAATATCTAATAAAAAACGTAAAAATTAAAAACCTATTAAATTTAAATTTTATTTTATTTTGTTGCCAATTAAGGATACAATTCTCATTTTCATAACTAATGAAAAATACAAAGACACAACAAAATTACAATTTTAACTTAAATTAAATTGAAAGTGTGAAATATAAAAATAAAATGCCTAAATGCAAAGTAAATGTAAGGTTTCTTATTTTTAAGTTAGATTTTTACATAATATAAATAAAATACTTTAAATGTATACTATATATATTTACTAAAATCACTATTAAAGGTGCATATTAAAAAACAAATACTAATAAAAACAATAAAATGACAAAAAGACACATTTTAACAAAAATTTAAATGAAAATAAAAAAATATAAAAATAAAAACAAGTTAAAAATCTTATAAAAACTGCAATAGTATCTCCACGATACCAACATAAAACTGACAATGATATATAAAAATAATAATGTTCAGTAAGGATCACTACCAGGGAATGTATGGTCTGATAAAATTAAAGGGGGGGTACAATGCTGTTTCATGCATTCAGAGTTGTTTACACTGTTAAAGAGTTGGATTCTCATGCTAAGCATGGACAAAATTTCAAAAAACAATTTGGACGTATGACAGAGTATTTCTGTGCCAAAAATCTTACTTCCGGGTTCGTACAAGTTTCTGAGAGCTTTTTTTCGATCGTGGCTCTTCATGACGTAAATGAGGGTGGAACTCCTTATATGGGCATTTCTCCCGGAAGATGGGCATTTCTCCCGGAAGAGCGCGCCCGTGCACGCATCGACCAAAGCCAGAGCGAGATGGCGCCCATCAACGCGCTTCATCCAGCGGCAGCACTGCACGGGACTTGCTCGGGAAGAATGTCTCCAAAGGAGTGTGTTTTTGGTTGTAAGGAAAATATAACTTTGTTCAGCTTCCTAAAGAACCCAGCGTTATGTAAACAGTGGATACAGTTTGTTTTTCCAGAGCAGCAACGGAGTGTCACAAGTGTGTTTGTTGACGAACGTTTTATAAACAAGGCCCAGTTCGACGCGGGATTTGCACATAGTTTGATACTGAAAGATGGAGCGGTCCCAGCTATAAAAGATCCCGGTCATGATTCAGAGCTGCAGACGGTAAGTGAAACCGCATCAAATGTCTGTTTTGTTGGCATTCGGCGCCCAAGTGCTCGTCACTCTCTAGCTCCGCCCACGGCACGCCTCCAGGAGCTGCTTTTTCGGGAGAGAATTGTAAAGCTGTATGTAGCTGTATATATATATATATATGGATATATAAAAGTAACTTTCCCCAACACTGTATATAAATACACACACAGACACACACACACACACACACACACATATATATATATATATATATATCCATATATATATATATATATCCATATATATATATATATATATATCCATATATATATATATATATATATATACATAAAAAAATGTTCTTGTGCTATTTATGAGCAAAAGATGAGCTTTAGCAGACGTTTGGCAGAAATGTTATTCTCTGAGCTGCCAAATCCTATCTTCTGCAGATGGATGAAAGAATGTGTGACACTGTGGAGGAAGTCACTGTAGAGTGATAGAACACATTACTCTTCTTTCCACAGACAGAGGAAATGTGCTTATCCCTCCGAAATCCTATCATGTTCTTTCCGGTCTCTTCCTTTAGAGCTTGTAGATCAGAAAGCTGCTCCGAGCAGGGGAGGGGAGTGAACTCTTAATAATGGACAGTTGCTACATTTTTAGCTACTTTACCCTCCTTGAAGAATGCTAAACACAGAATATGAACATTTTCTTATAACAAATTTTAGTGCACAGATTTTTGGAATTCTTGATTCTGATTGGTCAGTCGCAGTATTCTGCAGTCAAATCTTTGTTTAATTCTTTTGAATATATATATATAAAATGTGAAATTAAAGCTTAAGTGATTTCCTGCATAGTTGTGGTAGTTTCATGTCTCTCAGAGCACCTTTCAGTATTTTTCTTCTCACATAATCAATTACCAAGAACATAATCAAGACTTCCTCTGCTCCCTTGTGGCTTTGGACCAGAACTGGACTGGCTCTCCCCAACCCAACCCTGCTCGGCTGTGTTGGACTCTTCCCATGACCTCCTTGTGTTGTAGCCGGTTAATGGCTTGATCGACCTCCTGCTGGGCCCTCCATCTGCGCCCAGTGCGGATGGTCACCCCTGCACTCTTCACTGCTTCGTCCCTGGATTCCTTTAGCTCGAATACAAGACGGTAGAGAGTCCTTTAGGGTTTTTTATGCAAAATCCAAGTGTGTTTTCATGTGTCTTCACAGAGGAGAAGATTGAGTCTGGCCACTCCGACATAAAGCCCAGATTCGGTGGAGTGTTGCAGTGATGTTTGTCCTTCTCTAGATTTCTCCCATCTGCATATATGATCATGGAGCTCAACTAGAGTGACCATCATGTTCTTGGTCACCACTCTAACCAAGACCCTTCTCCATCAATTGCTCAGTTTGGCCAGGAGGCCGGCTCTAGGAAGTGTCCTGGTTGTTTCAAACTTCTTCCATTAAGGGTAACCGAGACTACATACTTCTGTGACCCTTCAATGAAGCAGATTTTTTTTTCTGAAATCTTCCCCAGATGTGTGGCTTGACACAAACCTGTTTCTGAGCTCTACAGGCAGTTCTTTTGACCTCAGGGCTTGGTTTTTGCTCTGATATGCATTATCAGCTGTTAGACCTTTTATTAAGATGTGTGTGCCTTTCCAAATCATACCCATTCAATTGAATTTGCCACAGGTTAACTTCACTCGAAGTGTAGTAACACCTACAATTTGAATGCTCCTGAGCTAAATTTCAACTATCCCAGATAAGGGTATGATTACTTATGCAATGGAATCATTTAAGTTTTTTATTTTTAATAAATTTGCAAAGATGTTAAAAACCTGTTTTTTG